TAGGGAGGGCGCTCTCAGTTTTATTCAGTGTCTAACTTAGTTTCCGCTTAAACGTAACCCAGCGCCTGTGCTTAGTGGCTGCAGGACTGGTAGCAGGGGTGAGGGTTAGCCAGTGTGTTCTTCCGTGGGGCAAAGAGAGCTTCGGAGACTTGCTGGGGTCTCGGGGCGGCGGGGTGGGGGGAGGAGCGCCCCCGCCCGGTTTTGCAGAAGGGTCAGTCAAGGCCGGAAGAAGGACGGAGGTCCCTAAGCTGTGAGGCGACCCCTGGGGGCGGCTGGCGGAGCTGGGACAGGCCCTTTAGTTCCAGGGGGTCTCTCAGTGCTGAAGGCGGGAGCTTTGGCCCCTGACGAGAGGTTTGTCGTGCAGGGAAAATCTTGGATGAGCTTTTGCAGACCTGCGTGGACCCCAAAGACTGCCCGGTGTGTGAGGTGGCCGGCCGGCGCTTAGCCCCGGGAAAGAAGATCACCCTGAACCCCGGGGACCCTGACCACTGCCAGACTTGGTAAAACCCTCCCCCCGCCGGGTGGTCTGAAGCGATGCCTTGCTGTCCAGCCCGCAGGCGGCTCAGAAGCGCCGCTCTGGGGAGGACGCCCTCGCTCTGTGCGCTGAGAGCAGGCGTTTAGCTTGCGTCCCCGTCTTTGAGGACAGACTAGATGCCTCTCCAGGAATTATCTCCCGGGAGGTTTAGGTTTTAGCCTCTTTTGCTGAGGGAAGCGTGTGGTCTCTTCTTGTCCCTGGAGGTCACCTCCAGTCCAGGGGCAGCCCTGGTCGGTGGAAGTCAGGTTTCTTTTTCACTAGAGGTGGGGGTGCAGGGAGGAAAGTGAGACGGAGCCCCGACCCCTCCGTGGGGTGCGGCCAGGGTCCCGGGACACAGCTCTTGTAACGGGAGGGAGCCCAGGTCGCGGCACCCCCAGCTCTCGGGGAGCTGAGGTGGTGTCCTCGGGGCGAGCCCTGAGCTTCTGGAAGTCCTGGTCTGAGTCACGCGGGCACTTGTTCTGGAATGTTGGAAGGGTCCTCACGGCTCCTTATGGGACCCTAGACTTGAGAACTTAAATGCCCCGGGGAAGGCAGGGGCCCTCGCCACAGCTGCCAGAGTAGACCCCACCGCCTCCAGCTGTACAGACAAGAGTGAGCGCTGCCCGGGGTGAATTTTCAAGCAAACACAGGAAACTAGAAAGCCTGCCACTCACGCTCTGTTAACCAAGGATTGACACCCTAAATCATGTGGACCACAAGGAGGCAGGAATTAACTGCCCGCCCGCCTCCCTGTGCCAACAGAGAGATGGTCGGGAATAAAGAACGGGGTGACTCCAACAGGCTGGGGGTTCTGAGCACGCAGAGCTCTCTCACTGCCTCCCTCCTCGGGCACATGGGGAGGGCGGCTACCGGGGTACATGCTGCAGCTGCCAATAGGCGTGGACAATGGTCCCAAAGCAGGCTGGGGACATCACTGGGAGGCATGCCACAGGGGACTCTCCCTAGGGCCCAGGGCACTGCTGTCCCCTCCGCCTAACTGGGCCCTGAGGGCAAGTTACCTCAAAGGCCAAGGGCACGTGGACAAGGTTCTAGGTGGCCTGGGTCTCCGCCCCAGCCCCCTTGACTTCTACTGTGGTCTGGTGGACACTGCCATTTTTCAGGACACTGGAGAAAGGGAGCAGTGACCAGGGGACTGCACATTTGGCCTGGTGGGGTGGGAATTTGTGTGGGGGGCTTGGGGCTGGATGCGGGGCGTGGCCGAGGGCCTGGCACGGGGTGAGTGCAGACCACGTGTCTGAAAAGAATGAGTCACTGTCCTTCTGCGTCTGACATCTTGGGGTCCCGCGAATACCACCCCAATACTTTGTTCTACCAGGTAAAGCTGCGAGTTTTGAATCTTTATTCATCATCCCAGAGTGACCGAATTCCAGTTTCCCTCTCTTCCTTACGGCCCCTCGGGTTAAAAGTCATGCAGCTTAGATCCTGCTGTAATAAATAGTGAGAAACATTTATCTTCGGCAGAACATTTACAAGGCCTGGTCAGCGTCGACATTTTAGAGCAGTATTTGTCTTTGGAGATATTTGGAAGAAGATTTGGATTAAAGTTAAATATTTACGTGGCTAGAGACGTAGGTTGACAATAAATCAACTTTGAATGCCTGTGTGGGTCGCCGAGAAGGAAGAAAGATTCCTGTTCAGGTCCTAGGGTGGGTGAAAGCTTTGGCTTTCAAGGGACTCAAGACTCTGGGGAAGTGTGCATGTGTCTAGGGGGCTCCCGGGGTACTGGGCACGCGTGTTAAAAAACGCTGTCCCTCTCGGGTGGGGACTGATCCGTCCCCGGGAGCGTGGGTTCACGGGGCTGAGACGTTCCCGGAGGTTCCTCCCAGACGGTTTTGGTTTCTCCCCCTCCTGCAGTCACTGTGATGGTGTCAACCTCACCTGTGAAGCCTGCGGGGAGCTGGGGGGCCTGGAGGCACCCCCCACCGAAGGCCCGGCCAGCACCACCAGCTCGTACGTGGAGGACACCCCGGAGCCGCCCTTGCACAGCTTCCTGTGCAGCAGACTCCTGGACCTGGTCTTCCTGCTGGACGGCTCCAACAAGCTGTCCGAGGCCGACTTCGGGGTGCTGAAGGACTTCGTGGTAGGCATGATGGAGCGCCTGCACATCTCCCAGAAGCGCATCCGCGTGGCCGTGGTAGAGTACCACGACGGCTCCCACGCCTACATCGCACTCCGGGACCGGAAGCGACCCTCGGAGCTGCGGCGCATCGCCAGCCAGGTGAGGTACGCAGGCAGCACGGTGGCCTCCACCAGTGAGGTCCTGAAGTACACGCTCTTCCAGATCTTCAGCAAGATCGACCGGCCCGAAGCCTCCCGCGTGGTCCTGCTGCTCGTGGCCAGCCAGGAGCCCGCCAAGCTGTCCCGGAACTTTGCCCGCTACGTCCAGGGCCTGAAGAAGAAGAAGGTCTCCGTGGTCGCGGTGGGCATCGGGCCCCACGCCAACCTGAAGCAGGTCCGCTTCATCGAGAAGCAGGCCCCCGAGAACAAGGCCTTCGAGCTCGGTGGGGTGGGCGAGCTGGAGCAGCGGAGGGACGAGATCATCGGCTACCTCTGCGACCTTGCCCCCGAAGTGCCTGCCCCGACGCCGCACCCCCACGTGGCACAGGTCACCGTGGGCCCTGAGCTCCTGGGGGTTTCGACGGCGGGACCCCGGAGGTGCTCCGTGGTCCTGGATGTGGTCTTCGTCCTGGAAGGGTCAGACAAGGTGGGCGAGGCCAACTTCAACAGGAGCACCGAGTTCGTGGCAGAGGTGGTTCGGCGGATGGATGTGGGCCGGGACAGCGTCCACATCGCCGTGCTGCAGTACTCACACGCGGTGGCCGAGGAGTACTCCTTCAGCAAGGCGCAGTCCACGGGGGACGTCCTGCAGCGAGTGCAGGGGATCCGCTACCAGGGCGGCAACGAGACCAACACTGGGCTGGCCCTGCAGTATCTGACCGAGCACAGCTTCTCGGCCAGGGAGGGGGACCGGGAGCAGGCGCCTAACCTGGTCTACATGGTCACAGGGAACCCTGCCTCGGACGAGATCAGGCGGATGCCAGGGGACATCCAGGTGGTGCCCATCGGAGTGGGCCCCAGCGTGGACAGGCAGGAACTGGAGAGGATCGGCTGGCCCAACGCCCCCATCTTCATCCAGGACTTTGAGATGCTCCCCCGAGAGGCTCCTGATCTGGTGCTACAGAGGTGCTGCTCCGAAGAGAGGCCGCACCTCACCACCCTCTCCCCTGCCCCAGGTACGCGGGCGCTTTGCCGGGGGTGAGGACCCGGGAGGGCTGGGGGCAACCTTGGTGGAGGTGCGATGAGTCTCAGGTTCTCATCCTGGCCTCCCTGCTCTGTGCTTGCTCAGACCCCTGCCTTCCGAGTGTGTGTGTGTCCTCACCTCCCAGGTAGGAAGGGGCAACTGTGACCCTTTTTTGCTGGAGGATTGTGTTTGCTTCTTGTCACGTGTGCTTGAAAATTCAACGGTAATGCAAACCTGTTGTTAAAATTTAAGCAATACGAAGGATATGGAGGAAAAAAAAAGATACAAGTCTGACTCTATCACATAGCCTCATCCCCACCAGTGCCACTCCCTGCTTGGAGGCGACCTGTTAAATTTGGTGACTGCCAGCTTTTTGACCTCGCTAGGTGGATAAGATTATTCTAAATAGCTGACAATCCTGGGGCAAAGCCAGGTCTGGGTTCTGGAACCCGGCTGCCATAGCTTGCATCCATCTCTGTTACCTCCTAGCTGAGTCATTTTTGGCAGTTATCTTGGTAATCATTTGAGGGTAATTGGGGGCAATTGCTTCTGTGAATATCAGTCTCCTCGTCTGTAAAAATGGCGATAATAATAGTACTTACTTGTAAAATGCTTGGAACAGTACCCTGTACATAGCAAGTGCTCTGAAGTGGCTGGCCACCACTGCTTTTGGTATGGCCCTCTAAACCGATGCTAATGACTCCCCGATTCCTGGTTCTTGGACATCTTTATTTGGCGTGTTCGGGACCATCCCAGAATGACTAGCCTTCTTTTAATGTCCCTTGATCCTCATGCTTGTTATCTCTCTCTTTGCTTCTTTGTTTTTGCTTTAATCAGAGCCACAGATTCATCTGAGTTCTTGTGGTGTTTCTGCCACAGCCTCACCTTATCAGATCTCAGAGTGGCGTTTGGGCCAGAGGGTGTTTCCTCACCACGACCGTGACCCTGCGCCTAAGCACTGGGTGTGTGTAACTGGAGCACACCCTCCAGCTCCTCACCTGCCCCGTGAGACCCGAGAACTCACAAGCCCGCTTCCCAGGGCTGTGCTGCTCCGTGTCCCTGTTTTATGCCCCAGTACTTCACTCAAGCCTTGGAGGGTTTGCAGCCTCCTGACACCGAGGGAGAGAATGCCTCTTGCTTTCGTCTGTAGGCTTTTGAACTGCCTTTGGGTGGAGTTGGAGTCTCCCCAGTGCCTCCGAACGCGGCCCCCTTCCCTCTTGCCTGGCGCAGTCTGCAGTGATGCAGGACCAGGGTGGGGAGGACACATCTCCCTTCTGCGGTGCTGCTGGCTTGGCTGCGCCCTGCACACCCACTGAATGCATGTCTGCCGCAGGGGCCCCAGTGCCTGCCCCCAGTGGCCCTGGTTGCTCCCCTCCCGGTCTCTCTGCAGCCTGCAGCGAGCCCCTGGACGTGGTCCTCCTCCTTGACGGCTCCTCCAGCTCTCCAGCTTCCTACTTTGATGAAATGAAGACTTTCGCCAAGGATTTCATTTCAAAAGCCAATATAGGTGAGTGACGCGCCTGAAGGGGTCTTTCTGGGGCTCCCCGATCCGAAGCGTGACTTCCGTCCTTGTTCTCTGCCCCCGCAGGGCCTCAGCTCACCCAGGTGTCCGTGCTGCAGTACGGAAGCATCACCACCGCTGACGTGCCGTGGAACGTGGCCCAGGCGACAGCCCACTTGCTGAGCCTCGTGGACCTCATGCAGCGGGAGGGCGGCCCCAGCCAAATCGGTAACGCGGTCGCGGGCTGGGCGCGGGAGCCGCGTCTGGTCCGGTTCCTGGCATAAGTGACCAAGCGACCCCGACCAGCCACTTGGCTCCTTGCTCTTAGATTTCTTTCCCGTAAAGCGAGGACCTGGATGCCCACCAGGCCCCCTCCCTGTCTCCCTCGCGTGGGAGACTCTCTGAGTCTCTGGATCGCTCCATTTCCTTGACCTCAGGCTCCACCACGAGACAGGATGCCCAGCTGCTCCGAAAGCCCCTTCCCCGCGTCAGAGCTGACTTGTGCGGCCTGTTCTCCATTCTCAGGGGCTGCCTTGGCCTTTGCGGTGCGATATGTCACTTCCGAGGTCCATGGTGCCAGGCCCGGCGCCTCCAAGGCGGTGGTGATCCTGGTCACGGAGGCCTCCGTGGATTCGGTTGATGAAGCAGCCGCTGCCGCCAGATCCAACCGTGAGTGTCCGGGGAGCCGTCCTGAGACCCCCGGCCCCAGCCTGCTGGAGGACTGCACGTGGGCGGCCGTTACTTCCCGAGGCCCCACCTGATTTTAAGTGCTTCATTCCCACTCTGGCCTGGTTTCAAACACCTGGAAATTGCCCAATCTCTGTGTTATTTGGAAACCAAACAGTGGTACACGTGGGCTTATCCTTCACTTGTCTGCATGCTTTGGACTGTAATCTTTAATTTCTCCAAATTTTCCCTGTGCATCCAGGGGTGGGTCATACCTCCACTCCTGTCCTTTTGTAGTGGCGGCAGCCTTGGCGTCTCCCCACTGTCACGTGTCTGAGGCTAGAGTGATTCATTCCGTGGCTTCGAGAACCATCAGGGACCTTCTTGTGCTCAGAGCTCTGGTCTAGTACCAGCCGAAGGGCTTGGGGGCGCTGGATGGACAAGAGACCGAGGCTGCTGCTTTGAGGGAGGTGGAGGCGGGTGTGCCCCAGGCCTGGGGCCTCGTGAGCACCAACAGTGCGTGAGCCAGGCTGGTGGTGTTGCGCCGGGAGGGCTGGGTGAGTGGAAGGACGTCCTCTCACTCCACCGGGAGAACGGCTCATCCTTCAGGACCCTGCTCTGGAGTTGTCTTTCCTCTGACGTCCTCCGAGAGTTATTCACTCCCTTTTCTGCACCCTCTCTGAACCACTCCAAATGCACAAACCACTTTGCTTTTATTTGTTACCTGTCTGTTTTTTTTGCACAAACTGGAGCCAGGGCAAAACCTTGCTTATTTCTGTATTATATGTACCTGATGCACAAAATAGGTGGCCATTCAATGTTTGTTGATTGAATGAATGTGACATATTGGTGAAATCTATTGTTTGTGGGAAGAAGACCCTAGAAAGGGTGTGTATTGGGGTGATAGGACCAGCTCACAAGAGCGGAAAAGCTGCCAGCCAAAAGTCAGCCTCAGGAGACTGCAGATACCTGGAACTTTCTGGAGGAGTAATTGGGGGTCTTTTCAGCATGGAGACTTTTGTCTTTTAGTATCAAGAATCCAAAGAAAGACTTTCGTCAGGAAAGGGAGAAGCCATGGTCTGGAGGCAACAGACGTGATCTCGGGCGTGCCACTTACCCGTTTAAGACCTCGGTTTCTCGTCTGTGGATGCACATACCCCGGGCTCCGTCCCGTGGCTTTTTCTCTTCCCTCTGTACTCCGACCCCTGGTCTCATTCAGTGTCATGCTCTTGAGACACTTATGCAGCACCGACTTCAAATCTCCTGTCTCCAGCCTGGCTCTCTCACCTAAATACTCTACCAGGAACTCAGGAAACTGAATTCCTGACCTTCCCACCCAAGGTCTCTTCCCCCTGCGATCTCTCCCATCTTCGAAAATGGCGGTTCCACCCTTCCAGTTGCTCAGCCCCCAAACCTCAGCATCCTTGATTCCGCTTTTTCTCTCAGACCCCCATCCCATCCAGCCACACACTGTAGCTCCGTCTTCAGAATGCATGGAGAGCCCCCCCCACCTCCGTGCCACCCCCACCACTGTCCCCATCGTCTCTCACCCGGATGATCGTCACAGCTTTCTAACCTGGATCCCCCGCTTCCGCCCTTGTCCCCTGGAGTTCCATCATCAACACAGCAGCTTAGCGACCCTTTGAAAATTGAAGTCGGCCACTCATGTCACTGCTCTGGTCCAAAGGCTCGGCTGGCTTCCCATTCTGCTCAGAGAACATGTTAAGTCCTGCCCGTGGCCTCTGAAGCTTTGTGCGATCTGTGCTGTGCTTCCACTGTTGGCTCTGCTCCAGCCACCCTGGGTTGTGCAGCCAGACTTCTGCCCCTGGGCCTTTGCATGCACTGTCTCTTGCTCAGAATGTCCTCTTGGCTCCTTCTGTCCTTCTTCTTTTCCCTGAACACACCTCCAGCGTCCTTGTATGAAACAATAACCCTCACCCCTACCCCTGGTCACTCCTATCCCCCTTAACCCATTTTGGTTTTTTCTAAGCACTTACCTGTATCTGAAATACTAGGTATTTACTTACTTGAGTATTTGTTGTCTGGCTGTCCCCAGTGTAAGCTCCATGAGGACAGGGATACAGGACCTGCTTGGCTCACTGTATCCCTACTGCCTAGCACAGTACCTGACACAGAGTAGGAGCTTGGTAATGTTTGCTGACTGACCAAACGATCTCCTCACAGGGTTGGTGTAAGTGACCAGTCTGGAAAACAGAAAGTTCTGTACACATGCTGGGCATAGCTCCAGGCCAGCTCATTTTGAAGCAGGTTGACACAGACCCCTTCTTGCTCCTTGCTAACTCTAGGAGTGGCAGTGTTCCCCATTGGAATTGGGGATCGGTATGACCCAGCCCAGCTGAGGACCTTGGCAGGCCCAGGGGCCAGCTCCAACGTGCTGAAGCTCCAGCGAATCGAAGACCTCCCCATCATGGTCACCCTGGGCGACTCCTTCCACCACAAGCTGTGCTCTGGTGAGTCTTACGTATCTGTTGTGTCCCTCTTAACACAAAAAAAAAACAAAAACAAAACCCATCCTAGAGACCTGGGGTGCCCAGGCACAAGATTTGGCCTGGAGTGAAGATGCTTTCTTAGACCAGGACCTGTAAGTTTCTACTCGTGGGAGGTCGTGTGACAAACCTCCAGGAGGCTATCAGAAAGCTGTGTGTGTGGGCCTCCTTCCATCCCAGCTGTCCGCTCAGATGTGAGAGAAAGCCCACGCCTGCCTGTGCAGAGGCTGTCAGACCAAGAAGTGAGGACAGAAGCAGGGACCCCCAGCATCCTCAGATCAGGGCCCTCTTCCCCGTGCCGTCCTCACCCGCAGCATGGGCAGACAGGGCTTCAGGAAAGCAGCAAGATTCACAGTAGAGCACGGGGAGTTGTATTCAGCATCTTATCGTAGCCCAGAATGGAATATAATCTGAAAAACCATAACTGAGTCACTTTGCTGCACATCTGAGAACTAACACAATATTTAAATCAGCCATACTTCGTTTAAAAAAAAGGAAATGAAGGGCGCGAGGGTAGAGCTCAGTGGTGGAGCGTGTGCTTAGCACGCACAAGGGTCAGCCCCCAGGACCTCCGCTAAAATAAATAAACGGAATTACCTCCCCCTCCAAAGAAAAAACTAAGCATAAACTAATTTTTGTAAATGAAAAAACAAGGGAAAAAAGAAATACAACAACATAGACTCTACCATCAAATTGCCATTGTTTAAGTTGATTTAAGATGAAAATCTTTTTTTTTTTAACCACACCTTTTTTTTTAAACCTAGTTTTACATATTTTCCTAATGTAATTGGCTGTGGGTCAAAACCCAGTGCAGAGTTCTCGCCCTTGCCGAGGGCTGAGGGCTCGCCCGGGAGGAATCCGCAAGCTCCCTCTCAGGCCTTCAGCCTCTTGCCTCGTCCCCCTCCGCTCACTAGGCCCCGGTCTGCCCAGGAAAGGGGAAAGGAAGGCGGGGTTCGTGGTTACTGGCGTGCTGGCCGTGCTGTCACTAGCAACCACCCGGCATGCCCGGAGGCCCGCGCCACGTCCACCCCGCATCTCGTGCGCCTGCACCCCCGCTTCTAAACCCACGCACAGTCTTTTCAGAGTCAGTCCGACTTCGGGGCTGGCCAGGCGGCCTGCGCAGACACTGCGAGCAGCTCGGGATGTCTGGGCGGTGGGGAGCGGAGGCCTGACTTGGGTCTGTTTCAGAGTTCGTCAGAGTCTGCGTGGATGAGGACGGGGGTGAGAGGAGGGTAAGCTCCTTTCTGTTAACTTTGAAGGAAAGATCTGGAATGTGTGCTGGGGCCCTTGTTCCCGGGTTACCTTCTCCCACTGTGGTCTTGGTCCGTTGCTCCCTCTGACCATTATAGCTTGTTTTGGGGGGAAGTGGGTGGTGAATCTCATCTCCTGCATCCTGTCTTCTTGCCATTTAGGCCCACGTCCTAGTCTCCTTGTCTTCCGAGGGGTCAGTTGCCTGGTGGATGTCGAAGTGCCTCATTCTAGTCCCTGCCTGAATCTGCTTCTTTCTCTGCAGCCCGGGGACGTCTGGACCTTGCCGGATCAGTGCCACACAGTGACCTGCCTGCCAGATGGCCAGACCTTGCTGAAGAGCCATCGGGTCAACTGTGACCAGGGGCCGCGGCCTTCCTGCCCCAATAGCCAGTCCCCTATCCGGGTGGAGGAGACCTGTGGCTGCCGCTGGACCTGCCCCTGTGAGTCTTTCGTTTCCCCAGCCTGGACTGTGTTAAGGGAGTGGTGCTTTTAGCATGACTGTGCAGAAGGTGACCGCCCCAAAGCCCCCTTTCCCTCCCCACCACACTGCCTGTGCTGCCTCGATCCCCGGTCACCTGTGCGGGTGGAGGCCACTGGGGCCTGGCTGAGGGCGAGGGACGTTAGTGTGGCCTCGCTGATCCACTGCCTCTGCCTCTCAGTTCTCGGGTTTCCATTCACCCACTGCTGTCGATGTGGTCATGGTTTGGCTGGAAAGCTCATCCCTAACTCCATATAAGTCCAAGAATAGCTTTCAAATCATGCCTTCCGGGGGGGGGGGTTATGGAATCATCTGCTGTAGCTGCAAGACGATTAGTCTTCCCAAGTGGTGTTTTAATAGGAACCTTGAGGACCTGCTGACTGTGTGAGTGAATGAGTGGCAGACGAGTGGCGTGCTGAGACCCGACCATTTGTTTTGGCTTCAGGAATATTTCTCCTGCACCATCTCTTCAGGGATCAAGTCGACATGGCCACTTGTACCATTAGTCACTTGGCAGCTGAAAGGACTGTGTCTTTGGGGGAACTTTCTTTACAGTGAGATCATGACCTCGTGGTTTCAGCGAGTCGTAACACCCCCAGAACTTAGCTTTGTTTCTTGGGCCAAGGCGTCCTTGCAGGGTAGATCATGAAATTTGCACGTTTAAATGTTTTGGAAGTATGGTTCTGTAATTTGCCACATTTTAATGTAATACTTGTCCTTTTAAACCTTCTCCAGGAAAATATTTGATGGCCAAGTGTCATTTCCCTAAGCCACTCCACCTCCCAGAACCTCAGTTTCCTAAATCTGTAAAAAGGAGGAAGAGACTGCATGGCTTCACAAGGGCCATTCAGCTCTCAGCGTTGGTTTCCCGTGCGTGACTTGGGGACACCTGGCTCTCTGCACGTAAGGGAGTTTGGACGGTATCATATCCATCGTGTGCTCTCCCCGCCCAGGTGTGTGCACTGGCAGCTCTACCCGGCACATTGTGACCTTTGACGGACAGAATTTCAAGCTGACTGGCAGCTGCTCGTATGTCCTGTTTCACAGCAAGGAGCAGGACCTGGAGGTGGTTCTCCATAGCGGTGCCTGCGGCACTGGGGCGAGGCAGGCCTGCGTGACAGCCATTGAGGTGAAGCACGACGGCCTCTCCGTCCAGCTCCGCAGCGACATGCAGGTGAGCAGTGCTTTCCGAGGGCCCCCTGGAGAGGCAGCAGCAGAACCTTGGGAGAGCCACGCCGACCTGGGGGCGGCTGGTTTTGGCTGATGCTTCCGTCAGGGACTCGGCCTTCTGCCTGATTAACAGAGCACGACCTCCGCAGGGGAGGGCTTCCCGCCTTGCCCCTTGTGCTGGGACTTCGTGTTGTTCTGGGCCCAGGTGTGGAAGAAGGGATCAATTTCAGGTAGCATTAAATTGTGAATTTAGTGCCAATTTTCTGGCACTAGTAGAAAATTGGGGTTGACGGCAGTGCGTGTTACCCAGCAGACGTCATGAGCTCAGTGCCTAGGGCCTGCGAGCCTTCCGAGGGAAAGTATTCAGGGCTTGGATCAGGCCCGTGAAAATACCTTGGGTCCAAACAAAACGTGTGGCCCCCAAATTTGGAAGGAAGACTGCAAAACTGATAAAAGTCTATGTTTAATTAGATGTTTACAAGAGGTTACATTATGCCGACTTCTTCACACGTTCATTTAGAAATTGTAAATATTCCATCACGCAAAACCAGCTCATAGGTTAGATCTTCTCACCTTGCAAGAATTCTTGAACAGGCCCAGTAATTGCTGGAAAAAGAAAAATCACAGCTCATCATGTATTAAATGGGTTGCTCGTAGCCAAAAATTTAAAAATCAAAAGGCTAGAAAGCCTTCCAAAGGTTTTACAGCAAAAATTATATTCCTCGTGGGATGTGAGTTCACTTGAATATGTTTGATGTGATGTATATAGTGGTGTCTCCGAAGAGCTAGTGACCAAATAAGATAAAACGAGATTAAAAAGCAAAACTCTTAAAGCAGTCCTATTAGACATTCCTGGGGCCGGGGCCCTGATGAGCTGGCAGAATGGTGACATCCCCAGCCCGTCTGGAGGGGTCATCCTTCCCTGTTGAGTGTGTGCAGACGCAGGTTCCCCTGAAGCCCGGGGCTCTCGGGTTGCAGATGCACGGCTGTCTGTCCAGCACTGTAATAGCCTGCTCTCCTGCCAAGCTCTGCAAAGCCCTTTTATCGTAGAAGAGCTGCTGACAAGCATCCGGGTCTGTGGATAACGGCAGAGTCGAGTGTGTAGGGCCCGCTGGGAACTTCAGGAAGAGGCTAAGAGTGAAATCCTAGGAGTCCTCGTTGCCATGACTCTGGATGGGCTGTTTTCTTCTTTGGGCAGGTGGAGGTGAATGGGAGACTGGTCTCTGTCCCTTACACGGGTGGGAACCTGGAGGTCAGTATCTATGGTACCATCATGTATGAGGTCAGATTCAACCATCTCGGCCACATCTTCACCTTCACGCCCCAAAACAACGAGTTCCAGCTGCAGCTGAGCCCAAAGACCTTTGCCTCGAAGGTGTACGGTCTCTGTGGTAAGGACATCTTCTCAACTCTCCTCTTTAACATAAACCCTCCTTGCTCTGTTTCTCGTCCAGTAGTGAGGTTCAGAGGTCGGCAGGGATGGAGAATGGCCGGGTCTTAGCATCAAGGGGTTGGTACCCTGGCCTCCCAACTGTGTCTTTCCTGTTTTTCTAGGGATCTGTGATGAGAACGGGGCCAATGACTTCATGCTGAAGGATGGCACGGTCACCACAGACTGGAGGACGCTGGTCCAGGAGTGGACGGTACAGCAGCCGGGGCAGACGTGCCAGTCGGTTCCCGAGGAGCAATGTCCTGTACCTGGGGCCTCTCCCTGCCACGTCATCCTCTCAGCACTGTTTGCCGAGTGCCACAAGGTCGTGGCTCCGGACACATTTCATGCCATCTGCCAGCAAGAGAGTTGCCACCAGGAGAAAGTGTGCGAGGCAGTTGCCTCTTACGCCCACCTCTGTCGGACCAAGGGGGTGTGTGTTGACTGGAGGACCCCTGAGTTCTGCGGTGAGTCTCCATGGGTGCCCCCGAGTGCTGTGCAGACCAGCTGACAGCCGGCCTGCTCACCCTCTCTGGGCCTCACATTCTTTATTTGTGTAATGAAAATCAACATGGCTGCATTTCCTAAGATTCCATAGGATCAGATAAGATGGCAGGTGCATAAGCATTTGGATGTAGAATTCCTACGTAAATGAAAGCGTGGTCCTTTCTGTAAGTATTTCTGTAGTTCACACAAATGTGATTTTAGTGTGTCAGACACATCCCGCCACCAGCAGGGTGCAGAATGACCAGTCGCGTTGGAGCTGGAATCGCAGCTAGCTTCAGCAAGGCTCGCAGAGCAGGTCAGGCCGGGGCGGGCTTTTGGAATGTGAGGGGAATTCGCCATCCGAACACCACAGTGCCGCTTAGTTCCAAGCAGCCCAGGATTGCTGTGCGGACACCTCCCCCAGCTCAGCTTCCTCGCTTGGACTTCACATTTACGATTTACTGTGTGGGGGATCCCCAGACTGAGTCAGATGTGGCTCCTGCCCTCAGGGGGCGCTGAAGGCACCCTTGGTTTCTAATGTGATCCCTGATTTTTTTTCCTGAGGGAAATTAGTCCGTACAAGCATCTCGGAGTCTCACGGCTTACTGGTCTAGTGCCGTCACAGGTTCCACCTGGGGTTGGAGGGCTGGGCGCCCTGTCCCAGCTCAGCTGGGCCTCAGCTATTCTTCTCAGCTTTCTGGGCCTCAGTCTCTGCATCTCAGAGTGAGCTAGTCGGCCTAGATGACTCCCAGGCGTCTTCAAGCGCTGGCTTTCTGAGTCCGTATGGAAGATGCTGCCTCCTTCCGGTCTGCCTGCAGGGGGAAATGTTAGCTTCTGAGTTACTGGCTGCACCTTCTCTGCCTATTAATGTCTTTATCTACCTCCTGGCAATGTGTTGTGCATTTATAGGAAAATCGTCAGTGCTCTAAATCCTTGGAAACCTCTCTACCATCTGCCTTGGCACCGTGAAAATGGGAGGGTGGGGCTGAGCAGGACCCGGCTGGGGGAAGCGGGCCCTTGGTACCTTTTCTCCCAGGCAGCCCTTCAGAGCTGTGGATCCCTGTCTGAGTTCAAGAGGATTTTTAAAGCATTAAACATACCTGCATTCAAAGAAAAGAACCATGAAACTTCCTAAGGGCACACAGGTTCACATCGTCAGCTGGGACTAAACTTGGCTGCACGTAGGAGAGAAGTGAAGTTCTCTGTCCCACAGCTGGTCAGAGGGAGCTGGCTCCAGCTGTTTCTGGGTCTCAAAGTGGAGTCTGGTTTTTCGCTCCACCCTCACCTGGGTGTGCCCTTTCCTCATGGTTTAGGAGGGAGCTCTCCCCATCACATCCAGGTTCCAAGCGGCGGATGAGAGGAAGGAGGGAATAGGGACGAAGGCACAGCATCTTTCAGGAAACCATCCCCAGAAGCTACCCTGAGAGTCTGCACTTGTTCACTGGTCAGAGCTTAGTCACAGGACTACACTTAGCTACAAGGGAGGCTGGGAAATGTCACCTGTGTTATGGGCGGTCACGTGCCAGCAGCTTAAAGGCCTATTTTTATGGACGTCGGGGAGAGTGAAAATTGGTGGACACCAGCCGCTTCTGCTGCAGCGGGTTTGTCAGAAGGTCCCCCACCTTGAGTTAGCTGTGCCTGCTTCTGTCTGGTGGGTGCGAAGCCTCGAGACTGACCCCTTTCCGCCCCTGCAGCTGTGTCCTGCCCGCCGTCCCTGGTGTACAACCACTGTGAGTCCCGCTGCCCCCAGCACTGTGAGGGCAATTCCAGCTCCTGCGGGGACCACCCCTCGGAAGGCTGCTTCTGCCCCCCGCACCAGGTGATGCTGAAAGGTGGCTGTGTCCCCGAGGAGGCCTGCACCCAGTGTGTCGGTGACGATGGAACCCGGCACCAGGTAGGAGCCCTGCGCTCTCGCCTCCCGCGGGGCTGCTTCCCTCTGGGTTCAGTAGGGGGCCGTGCTCACCGGTGACTGGCTCCTTCCAACCCTGGCAGCAGGGGTCTCCGAGGGACAGGGTGTGTGGCATAATGGCTTTGGAGTCGGACACATCTTGGTTCAGATCCCAGGTCTGTCACGTGTTAGCTGTGTGATCAGACACCGGAGTGTAAGAACGCATCACCGCTACTATTGATTTTGTCATTACAGTCCCGTAAGTCAAATGCTAGGAACCCAGGAGGGGGTGGGAAAAGAGTATTTTGCACGGTGGTGTCTACCATCATTGAGACATGGGGTGTGCCTTGCATTGTACCAAGCACGACATGTTCATTATTTCAACGTTTTTCTAAGGTGTTTTTGCAGGCAGGGTATTAATGGTTACCTGTGGGTGAGAAGGTTTAAAGAACACCAGCTAATAAGCAAGTGAGACTAGTTTCTTTATTAGAGCTTTTAATGAGCTCAGGTACATTGCAGGAGTTGAAGAGCATCTCCAGCTTCTCAGACTAAGAGACCATGGAATTGTGTGTGTGGTGGAGTGAGTGTGAGCGTCAGTGTGTGTGTGTGCACACGCGCATGCACGCACACAGCATCTCCTCGGACTAGGGTTCCACAGGACACACTAGTGTATGTTACATCATCTCGTAAGTACAGAACATCTCCGAGGAGTCGAAGGCTTGGAGAGCTTGGTACTTTGCCCACGGACTCAGTTTGTAAGTGACGGAGTTGGAGGTTGGAGTCAGTACTTGAAGCTCCGTCTGACTCCAAAGGGCTTGCTCTTTCTGATGTATGAAATTTCCCTTTTGCTAGGTCTCCTTTGGGCTGATTTGCTTGGAAGTCATCCATCCTTTCAGCCTTTTAGGAGTCATTATTTTGAAAGGCTGTTTACCAAACTCCTTCATCTTGGCCTCAGATGGCAGTCCTGTCTCCAGAGTTGCCGGCATTACACTGTCGGATTAGGGCAGCGTGTGTCTGTGGACGTGTGAATGTGGGGAGTGGTCCTGTCCTTCGTCCTGGAGGTGATACCGCAGAGCATGGTAGAGGGGAGCACATTTGGCTTCTAGCAAAGGAGGATGTGGTCCACGATCGTGGTCTGCACCCAAGATCTACCATCTCCACCATCACCCAGGAAGCACCTTAATCCCTAAGTTGACCAGGTGGGGTGACGTAGCACTATGTTTTATCACTACAAGAACTCATGGTGAAGCTAGCTAACCAACCCGGGGAATGATGAAAACAGTAATTCTAGTAATAAACTATTCTGTTCCTGAAATAAGCCAGGGAACATCCATTTCATATGATTGTCCCCAAAGCTCCGTAGGGTAATTATCACACGTTCCATTGAATGGATGAGGAAACAGGCTCAGATGGCATGAGGTGATAACACTGGGATTCCGATTCACCACTGCAGGGCGCCCCACAGTGTCCTAGCCCCGCCACTGGTCTCTCGGGGACTGTGAGCTGAGCTCTGAGCTGCCCGGGCATCCGTGTAAGCAGGACGTCCGTTAGGCTGTTACTTGGATGGTGCCGTCGACTCGGTTTTGCTGTGGGCTTTGTCCTGGTGGATCCTGTTTGTTCTCACAGGGTAACTAGGAGGGAAGCGCAGTCACCTCTACTGCCGGACTTCAACTGGACCATAATGTTCCCCAAACGAGTGGACAAAACCTGACCTGCAGAGCTCGTGGCTCCCGCTGGGCTCAGGTGACGTGCACCGCTGTCACGTGGTGTGACACCCAGCGGTAGCTTCGGGCTGGTGTTTGCTGTTGGTGGCAGGGTGTCCTCAGAGGGAGGCAGAAGTGGTCTCCACTCCTCTTCCTTGGCATCTGTGATGAGAAGGAGGCTCAAGTTTGCATTTCTGGCTCCATGAGTGTCAGATGTCTGCAGGGTCCTGAAAGCAGGAAGCTTGTGAATTTGATCTTAGTGTCTCTACCCCTCTTCCCCACCCCTCCCCTCTGACCCTCTTCCTCTTTCGCTGCTCCTCTCTCGTCCAACACGTTGGAACATGCCTCGGAGTCTTGTGAAGAGTGCATCCAAGTAGTGCAGAACTTTGGACACAGAAGAGTCTCATAAATGTATTTTAAAATCAAGTGACGTAAAACTAGTTAATAAAAAACTATGCAGGGAACACAGCCGGTTTTCGTTGTTTCACAAAATACAATTTAAATGGACGAAAACAGATATCCAGCCATCTGTGATTTCAGCTTTTACTTCCAAAGCAGAGAAAGAATCAAACCCTCATATGAAGAACATTTCCATTAAATGAATTTTCTTTAAACTGAAGAAGTACAGCCTAGAAAACGTTTCCTCGGGGAAATAACCCAGGGTATAAATCTCCTGCGGGAACTTCGGAAGGCAAAATATTTACCAGTTTCCATAGCTCTTGTTTATTTTACAAAATGCACTGTGAAGATGTGAGTCTTTGTAGCGGCTCAGAAGGGATCCAGGGGCGCCATCAGTGGTGGGGGTGGGGCTGGGGTGGGGTGCCACCCAGTGCGGGGCAGTCACTGCTCCTGCTCCGCTCCACGCCTCCCTCACCCGGACGTGCGCCCGAGCCTCCGTTTCCTCTCTGGGGCCTGGTGTCCCGCGGGCTCAGCGCTGACGTTAGATCCGCGTGTCCCCGCAAGCGCGGGCCGTGGAGGGCGGTGCGCGATGGCTTGCCAAGTCCCTTCTGCGGCCTCAGGCTCTGGAGGCTTCACGTGTCCCTTGCCGCGTTCTCTGCAGGTGTTCTTATGTCATTGTTGGTCAGCCTTTAACTCCGGCCAACTCTCTCACCCGTTCTCCTGCCCAGGTACAGTCACGCCCGGGCCCCCCGGAACCCCGGGGCAGAGACGGGGCTCCCGGGGGTCGGCCCGTCCTGGCGCAAGACTGCCACCTGCTGGCCCGTTGGCTGCACGACCCGCCAGGTGTGCGGCTGGAGAGCTGGCCGCGGGCGCTTCTAGCAGCTTAGCCCTCGCTGGAAAGGGCTTTTTCAGGGGCCATAGGTTCTGTCTCCTGCCTCATTAAAACTTACTGGGAAAACAGAAATCCCTGAAGGAGGAGGTTTAACACCTGCTCTTGGTCATCTGTTGTGATGTTGCCCAAGATAGTTGGAAAGTTGTATTCTTCCTTTCTGAATTTTCAGTGTCTGAAGTTCACTTTTAGAAACAGGGAAAAAAAACCCCAATATATAAATATATACCTCCTTTCTTATCTCATCACTTTTGCCATTTAAAACTCTAAATATAGATGCCACGATTTACCTTTTCTGGGCATCACCTTCAGTGTAAGAGAGCAGGGAAGAGGGAGGGTGGGGATGGGAGAGGTGCCCCCGTGCTCCCCGACTCTGCCTGGGTTCCCCGTCCCGGGCCTCCGAGCCCAGCGCCCTGTGCCCCTCCTGGGCCGCCCCAGCCTCTTGGAGAAGCTGGCACAGCAGCCCCTGCGGCCTCTCTTCTGGTTTCCTTGTCTTCGTCCCACCCTCTGCACCTGCTCACTCGTGCCAGGCTTGTCCCTGTTTAAGTCCCTTCCCTTTGAGGCGAGTCCTGCTCGCAAAGCCTCAAGGCTGCGTGTTGCCCAAGTTCAGCACAACCTCCTTCAGTGAATGGGGAGGACCCCCAAGGGCGTTTCTGGAGTTCCTCTCCCTCCCCTTTGCCCGGCTCGTCCCCTCCCTTCACAGGTGCGCCTCCCTGAGGCCTCTCTGGAGCCCCCACCCCTAGGGAACTCTATTTTTGCACTCCTAGGGCTCTTTTATCTTTAATTTTTTTTAAAAATCAGGTTTATTGAAGCAGAGTTTACAGACAGTAAATAGCACCAAATATAAATGTACAATTTGATGGGTTTTGACAAGTGTGCACCCAGAAAACTGTCGTCACAGTCAAGATGACAAAAATCCCTGTCACCTCTAAAAGTTTCCCGACGCCCCTTTTTAATACACCCCGACCCCCATCTCCCACCGCCAGGCAGCCACTGGTTTGCCTCCTGTCACCATAGATTCATTTATGTTGTCTGGAATTTTATAGAAGTGGAATCATGCAGTGTTTATTCCCCTTTGTCTGGCTTCTTTTCACTCAGCATCACACTTTCCAGATCCATGCTTGTCGTGTGGTCCAGGGTTTATTCTGATGGCTGAGCAGTATTCCGTGGCGTGGCCCTGTCACAGTTTACTGATCTCACTCAACTTTTCACGGCTGAGTCTTACTTCTTCGGCTTACGCGTCAGTCACTTGGAGAGCTGGGACTATGTGCTCAGTGCTGGTCCCTCCCACAGCCCCACGGCGTCCGTGCCGTGCCCGGTGGTGGCAGTCTGGAGAGAGAGAGGGAGCATGTGGTGTCTGGGGCCACATCCTGGCTGTCCCAGCTGGCCGGGTTCCTTTCCTGAGCCTCAGAGTCATCACTGGCCGATGTATATCACAGTCATACTCACCTGCAGGGCTATTGGAAGGAAGACACAGCGAGTAAGGGAAGCACCTCGAACGTATTTAATGCTGCTTGTCACTGGGAAGCATCAGAGCCCAGTATTTAAAAAAAATGGCGGATTCTGCCTCAAGGTATTTTTAAATTTCTTCTTTGATTTAATCGTTGGCCCACTGGGATTTTAGCAGCCTGTTGTTCAGTCTCCATGCGATCTTTTTTTTTTCCATGTTTCTTTCTGTGGTTGCTTTCTAGTTTCATGCCACTGTGGTCAGAAAAGACACGTGAAATAATTTCTGTCCTCTTTAATGTGCTGAGGCTTCTTTTGTGTCTGCGTATGTGGTCCATCTTAGAGAATGTTCCCTGTGCACTTTGAAAGCATGTATATTCTGTGCTTTTTGTTGGGGGAAGGCAGATTGTGGGTCCCAGTCTCCCCTCTGTGCTGTGACGGCGTGACCCCTCGCAAGCGCCTCAGCTTTCTCACTTGACAAGTGGGGACAATAGTAAGAATGTCTCGGTTGTGGGGCTGCGGTGAGGATTGAATGAGTGGTTTACGTAAAGCCCTTAAATCTTGCCATGCAGCAC